ATAAATGTAATTACACATATATAATTTAATTTTAAAAATTATAATTATAATTATAAACATAATTATAACAGGTATAATTATTATTATACGTATTACACTAGTTATAAATAGAGCTATAATTATAATTGTAATTATATTTATAGTTATATTTATTTCTATAATTATAATTATAATTATAATTATAATTATAATTATAATTATAATTATAATATTTATTTCTATCATTTTAATTGTAATTACTCCGTATAATATGAGAATAACGAAAACAAAACTAATAACAATGACGACAACAACAACAACAACAACCATAATAGTAGTAAGAATAATAAGAATAATAATCATGATAATAATAAATATCATAATAATAATAATCATAGTAATCATAGTAATCATATTAATAATAATAATAATAACAATAATAATAAGAATAATAATAATACTAATAATAATAATATCAATAATAATAGTAATTATAATAATTACAATAAAGACAACACGAATAATAATAATAATAATAATAATTATTATTATTATTATTATTATAAAAGGGATAAATCATGTCTGAACTTTTCTGATCTGATCTGAATGTTCCTGATCTGATCTGAATGTTCCTGATCTGATCTGAATGTTTCTGATCTGATCTGAATCTTTCTGATCTGATCTGAATGATTCTGATTTGATCTGAATCTTTCTGATCTAATCTGATCTGAAATTTTTCTGATCTGATCTGATCTGATCTGAATTTTTCTGATCTGATCTGATCTGAATAAAATAAGAATAAGCAATAAGTAATAAGATTAAGATGAATAGAACAGTTTCTAAACATACTATAAAATACAAAGGAAATACTTGTCGAAACTGAGCTTAGAAGTATATGAGAATTAGTGATTTTAATGTGAAGAAAAATTGGTGTATTTGTAGCAAAATGGAGGTGGTAGAGTGCCGTACTCGATCCAGTATATGGGATACTGGATCGAGTACTAGAGGTAGTTTCCAGGAAATTGTGAAAAAAGGCATACTCGATCGAGGTAGTTCTTTTGCTCCCAGATTTGATTTTGACTAGCGTATCCGGTCAATACTCGACCGAGTATTGAACGAATTTCAAAATCTTCATTTGATCTTCTCCTTTTTGCACATTCTTTGATCTTTAGGATCCATCCCTTGATTCTTGAGATGATTTTGACCTGTCCTAAGCTCAGAATAATCCTAATCTAAATAAATTACAAATAATTAATGAAAATAAAGTATTACACCAAAAGTGCGTAATTTCCACAACCAGAACTAATAAAACTGGTTAAAAATACAAACATACATAATAGGAAATTCACACTATCATTGTGCATACCACTTCATGTCCGTCGGATCCTTGACTTTATTAAAATGATCTGCAAAAAGAAGAGATTTTAGTTAAGACTTACATTTTTGTACCGGTTGGGATGAACCCGCGCCGCCGCCATGCTCATCCTCGCCATGCTCCTCCTCGTCGGGAGTATCACTGTCGCCTTGTTCATACTCAACCCCGCTGCCTTCGTGCCCCACATTCTCGACGTCTCCTCCAGCATCCTCCTCGGCGTCACCGTCCTCCAACTCCTCTTGAATGTCGGGGTTGTTTTGTTGATGCATGGAAAAATTGGCCTTGATTTTGGTTCGAGAGATTTTGAAGTTGCTCATCGGTCATCGCATCTCTACGATCATAATCGTTCGTCCGATCATCGCGTGCGTAAGACGAAGATGTTGCCCCTACTTGTCACTTACCTTTCGATTGCGTTGGAGATTACTTATATCAACGGATTTCCTAGTCCGGTCCATTGCCTTAAAAAATGTTAAAAAAAACTACTAACTACAATTTATAATATTAAGAACTAAATGACTAAAAAATGTAACCATAGTAACTACTTATTCAAATACCAATAAACTAGTTAATTACTTACAAAGTTACAATGAATAAAATGTAACAACAATGCCTAACAACAACAAAAATGTTAAATGATTATAATGGGCTGAGTTCCATACTATTGGTCTGTTATACCCCAAAAATGGGCCTAACTATGCTCACAACGTCAATATTAGTTTATAGATTGGGCCAAATCCTTGCGGCCTTTAATTATTGGACTTGTTGTAAACACCTATAAATAGACTGCCAACCCTCCTATAATCGGAAGCTATCTTCACTATATTGAATTGTTGTTGCTTTCTCTCTTAAGCTATCTTCAATGGTAAATTTACACCAATGAAAAATAAAAAATGAGTGGACATATTATTGGTTCACTTAGTCAGAATCAAACTGTACTAAATTGAACAAAATTAAATCATAGACATTTTGATTTGAGTTAGATAGTGATTCTTACAAATAGCATTCAATGAAACCCAAGTGAAATCAAGAAAATAAAGTCAAACTGAACGGCAAAAATCAATATATTTTTAAAAAATAACACATCCAAATTGATTTAAAATTAATTTAATCGAACCAAATAATCGAGTCTAATTCAAGTTTAATTTGAACCAATATTTCTTTTTATTTTGTAATACCATTATTTATTAAGTCTATTTGAAGTTGAGTTTAATCGAAAACTGATGGAAACTCGATTGAAATCGAAATGTGCACCCCTAATTTGGATATGATCTTTAAAAACATATTTCTTCATTTTAAAAAAGTAAGACAAGAGAAAATGATGGGACGCGCAATTGAAAAGATTCAAAGTACTTTGATTTTCTTTTCATTGGTTTGACTTTTCAACAACCTTCTATGGATTAATTAACTTCATTTATTCCGCCATTTCTAATTTTCTATGCAAATTTGTTTGTCACTCCAAAGGCAACTATTGCATCGATCATCTTAACTGCAAAATAATGTAGAATATTAAATAAGACTGTGCTATTTTAAATTAACTAAATAATTAAAGAACATTTTTTACATAAAAGAATGCGAACCTGATATCCCGAGTATCGAATAAGTTAAATGCGTACTTCAATTCGATTTTCTAAACAGCGTAAAAAACTAAAGGTTGTAAAAAAATTGAAGGATTTAATGGGTAGTAAAAAATATCACTAATGTTCTCATGTGCTGTGGTGGTCTTCAAAATATTATGGAGCTCACCACTTAGGGATGGCAATGGGGCGGGTTTGGGGCGGGGTTCACTCCCCCATCTCCGCCCCATTTTTAAAAAGTTCCCCCCATCCCCACCCCATCCCCCGTTACTCCCATCCCCGCCCCATCCCCGCCCCATCCCCGCCCCACCCCGTCGTCCCCCACGGGTACCCACACCTGTCCCCATATAGATTTAATTTATCTTATTTGCACATATTTTTAATCCATTAAATATATACAACATTGAATTAATGTGTTTGGTAAAAGTTAATAACTCAATATTAATAATCCTTCAATTTGAATAAGTTCTGTGAATTGAAGACAGTAAAAGTAAACATATATTACCATCATGTACGTCGTTCCAATTATAATACAATTAATTATATATAGTACAAATCAGGGGCTGAGCTAGAGGGGTGGCCTACCGGGCCACGGCCCGCCCCAAATTTGAAAATTCTTTGTATTTTTAGTCTAAAAATTTATGCGAAAAAAATTATTCTGAAAAATTCTTTGTACCGGCCCAGCCCAACCTTCAATCCTAGCTACGCCCCTGGTACAAACATATGTGTGTGTATCTATTTACTCACTATCTCACTTTTAAAACTCAGATATATAACATTTATTATATATATTTTTAGTCATTACTTATTATATTCCGATATAATATGTATTAATTCATTGTCCATGAGTAAAACATATACAATTATGTATATGTATATGTATATGTATTCGTAATATGTGTTTGTCATATATTACAAACAACTTAATTAAATATGTTTGTACATTATTTGTGTGTGTGTGCGCGTGTGTGTTTGAGTATATATTTATAACAGGGACGGGGCGGGAACGGGGCGGGTGTAGCAATCCCCGCCCCCGCCCCATATTTTAACGGGGTAAAAATAACTCACCCATCCCCGCCCCTGCTCCACCCCAATCCCCGCCCCATCCTTCCCTCGCGGGGCGGTTCCCCACGGGTCCCTGCCCCCATTGCCATTGAAGAATTCAATTGCAACAACCATGAAGCTTCCTCCATGTGCAAGCAATAATCATGAAGCTTCCTCCATGTGCAAGAATGACAAATGGAGCTTCCATACACCTAGGAGTGACCTTCCTTTCAACCACCATTGAAGCTTCCTTCCACATTCTTTTTTTTTTTTTAACCCGGAAGGCAAACCACCCATCGGTGGGGCAAAAGCCGGGTAGCAGATGCCGAGTTTTATTAATAAAAGAGGAAATACATAAAGAGAGGGGGACCAAACCAAAACCTCTCAGGGAATTACACCAAGGTAAAAACAAAACAAGAATACTGGGGGGGCTATACCTGACCCAGTATTAAAAAATTAAAATCTAAAAGAGGGAATACCAAAAAAATCCATCAAATAAGCCCGCTTTACGAAAACAGGCAAATCAGATGGCCCGCTAAAGACGATGGGCTGAGAAGCATGAAGATTAGCCAGATGATGAGAAGCCCAATTACCTTCCCTGTAAGTATATCCGACATCCAGGCGTTTCCTAATTATCCAGTGTAAGCTTTCCTGAATTAGATCTGACCATCTCCTCGAATCCTTTCCAGTAAAATACTCGACCGCAAGTGAGCAGTCTGATTCCACTTGAAAATCTTCATACCCGTCGTTCACGACCCTATATGCTACACCCGGTTGTATGTACATCCGTGGTCCAATTAACATAAAAGCCCATTAAGAGATCTAGCCCATAACACACCTGGCCCCAATTTTTACCGGGTAATATCGATAACCGAAAAACAGAGCCTGCGATTTAAACATATCAAAAAACGGAAAAGTAACTTCTCTCGAACTACCTTCTGAAATTTCTTCGAAAACGACGCAAGCATTCATACACGCCGTATTAAAGCTCGAAAAACGATGACAGCCTCCAAACAATTGTCAACTTCGCGGAGTTGTTCGTAGAGTTGCAGAGCAACGACAAGTTAAGAACAGAGGAAGAGTTTGAGCAGCAAGTTGTTTCTGTTTGAGCATTGAAGCGAGTGATGGACCTACTATCCGAGTATGAGATGATGAAGAACGCAGATAAGCATGAAACTCCAGAAGGATCAGAGAGGTATGTAATATTATAGTGTTCAAATTTGTATTCAAGTAATGATTCAACAATATACTTGCATGTTTCGAAAATTATAGAAAAAATGAAATGATTTTGACAAATCTGAAGCAGATTATGAATTTGATGCATGATATGTGTTTATTAAGTATATCATTTGAGGTTTTGTTCAAAATACGAAGGTTATTGCTCATTTTACTCTACTTTAGGTCATATGCATTACTAACTAGTTAGAACATGGTGATACTGTAATTAGGTTACTTCTAAGATGATAAAATACTCAATCTGTGGTATACAGTACTCATCTATGAATGGAGTGGTATGTGCTTTAAATTTTCTGTACTTGTTGAATAATATCCTTATGATTCATATGTGTTTATGCTAATTAATCATAATGTGACATTAAAATTGAAGTCATACTCATTATTTGAACACTGTATCAAATGAACAAATAGACATTGTTTCATGAACAATGTGTCATGAAGTGCAGTAGATTTTTTGTTATACAATATACTTGTTCTGTAATTCGTTTGCATGGACATTGTGTGTGTGCTCATAATGTGAGTGTAAGATGCTCAAATTGTAAAACAGTGTGTCACAATTTTATAGTACTGAAAACTGGTGATAATATGTTAGTTATTCATAATGTTAATTTAAAAGTGAACTGATACTCATAAGTTGATTAGTACTTTCAAATAACCATATGGTGTTATGTTTTCTTAAAAAGCTATGAAAAATTTGTTTTAGAATATGCTTGTCATAAACTACATTTACATATAAATATAGTTTGTATAGAATATGCCTGTGATTGAATAGAGTTACAAAATAATATTTTGTGTGCTCATGATTTGATATATATTACTCATTTTAATTAATAATACAGGATTTTAGATCCACGACCTATAAGTGAGATCCCAGTGCTGCGCTCAAATCCAAAAAAGAGAGTAAAAAAGACTTCCAAAGTTCCACAGAAGCAGAAGAAGATGAAACCAAAAGCAATTCCAAAAAAGGAAAAGGCTAATATGGACTTAATAAAACAAATTGAAGCTGAGATAAAGATGAGTGATGAAGAAACAAGGGTTGCAGAAGTAAGGAAGGATAGCACTAAGAAGACTGAGCATGTTGGAGAACAATCTGAGAAACAAGGGAGGGATACTGAGCACCAAGGGAAAGAAACTGAGCACCAAGAGAGGGAAACTGAGGAGCATGTGAATGTTGAAGAAACAAGCAAAGGTGGCAGTAAGATGACTGAGAATGTTGTAGAAGAATCTGAGCACCGAGGGAGTGAACCTGAGCATCAAGGTATTGAAACTGAGCAACATGATAATGTTGAAGAAACAAGGAATACTAGCAGTAAGACAACTGAGGAGGTTGGAGAAGAATCTGAGCAACAGGGAAGGGAAAATGAGCAACAAGGTAGGGAAATTGAACAAAATCAGATTGTTATAGAAGTACAACAAGGAGCTGCACAGAGAAATAATGAGAAGAAAAGAAAGAGAAATAATGCAGGCTCAATTAAGAAAAGTACAGAACAAGGAAATTCAAGCAAAGAGAAAGAGAGCGAGGAAGTTAGTCCAAAAAGAAGAACTACAAGATCAACAACTTCAGAAGCAACTGAAAAGAAAAATGATGAAGTTCAGAAAAAGAAGAAAGAAGTTCATGCAAAGAAGAAAATAACAAGGGAAGCAGATTCAATAAAAGAGAAGAAGCAGAAGATAAAGAAGAAGAAAGCAGAAGAAGAGGAAGAATTTGAGGAGGACGAAGAGGAGATAGAGAAGGAAGAGAATGCAAAATACCCAAAGCTGTGGACAAGAATGTCTCCGAGTAGTATAACAGAAATAATGAAAAATCTAAGTGTAGAACAAAAGAAAGAGGTGATTGAGATGGGATTTGGCCCCTTACTGAACCTTGAAGTGAAGCAATTGCCAATGCAGTTGGCATATTGGTTGCTGGACAATTTTGACAGCAGAAGTGTGTCTCTTCTTCTGCCAAACAATGAAAGATTGAGGATTAATGAAGATGGAGTGCACGTGACATTGGGATTTCCAAAAGGAAAGATTAATGTGAAGAATTTGATTGACACTGAATCTGAGAATACTTCACACATGGTGGCTAATTGGAGATCACAATTTCAGACTGAAAATGGAGTTGTGAAGACTGCTCAAGTGAAGAAGGTTATAGAAGAAAACAAAGCAGGCGGAGTATGGTTTAAAAAGAATTTTTTGGTTCTCCTGGTAACATGTTTGATTGAAGGGAAGCAAAATTGCTTTGCCAATCAAAGCATTCTGAAGGCATTGCAGGATGATTCAAAAATCAAGGATCTGAATTGGTGTGGATACACTTTGGAAACATTAATTGAAGCAAAGGACTATTGGAGCAAAAATAGAGAAAGACAGTTCCCAGGGCCTTTATTATTTCTGATTGTAAGTTACAAATTCTTAATGTTATTGCTCATTTTTACCACACTATTACTCATATCCGCATATACACTACACAATTCTAAAATCTCATAAAATATGTAGGTGTTCTATGTAGACAACATTGTGTTCAAAGGCAGAAAAGTGGACAGAGCATTGCCATCTATTATTGGCTGGACAACACAAAAGCTGAACAAACGACAGAAGGAAGAAATTGAAACTGGAGGTTTTGGATACGGATATATAGATGAACCTAACAAAGGGGAATTGATAGTTCCAAAACTGATCACAAATGAAGAAGAAGCTGAAATCCCGATCGAGGGAAACAGTAATCAGGAGCCAAAGAAGGTAAGGACAGTATTATGTAATTTTAATAGAAACAATTGGGTAAATATATAAATGATAAGTATGATATGTAGATATGAGTATTTAGTACAAAGTAATGAGTGCATTTAAGAAGTTAAATAAAAACAAAGATAATAAATGTGTTAAAAATATATATGCTTCATTCAATTATTTTAGTATAAACTCAATAATAACATAAAGAATGCTCAATTACTGTTCTAAATTAATCATTAAATAACTGCAGGATATTATGAAGGAGTTTGCTGCAGCAGCGAAGAATTTGGCAGAAAGCATGGCCAATTTTGATGAAAAATTTCAACAGGCTGCAAAGGTGTTACCTGATGATGAGACAATGAAGATTTTAATGGGAAAAGTCCATGGGCTTTTCAACACATATTCATCAGAAAAGGAGAAAGAAAAAGAAAATGAAACCGAAGTGTCACTGACTCCAGATGATGGATTCTGGACTGAAGAAGTGCTCAAAGCAGTTGAAGCTATTGAAATGGCTCAGAAGAAAAGAGTTGAGAGGCCAACTTTTACTCAGTATGAAAAGCCAAGCTTCAAGTTGCTTTCACAGGAGTCAAATGATGGGGCGAATACATATGGGGATGATGATGAGCATCATCATGACATAATTGAGCAACATGGCAATGCAATTGAGCATGCAGAGGATGGTCCAAGTGAGCAAATGAATAAGGATAATGACAATGCTGAGGATGTTAATGAGGATGAAGAGGAATCTGAAAAGGAAGAATGTGAAGAAGAAAGAGACAGAAGGTTTAGAAAGGGTAAGCAAGTTGAACAATATCACATTGAACCAAAAGAGAACAAAGTGGAAAGAGAAAAAAGAGAAACAGCCCCAGCACCTGCTGTGAAGTCCCCATTCATGAACAGAAGTATAGATGCTAGGACAACACTTGGCAGTGAGGAAAGACTACTTGCAGGTTTTGTGTTCAATGATCATTGTGACAAGAAGTAAGTCGCTAAGTTTTTCTTAATCATTTCGTTTAATATAATGCACATTTAATATTTGAAGGTTACTCATTCTGATATAATAATTCTTTTCAAACAGTGTTGTGGTGTTCAAGCATTACAACTTCACTCTTTCAAAAGCTCAGATGGAAACAATGAAGAGCAACACAAAAGTTGATGCTGGAATTATAGATATATGGGCAATGTTGCTTAATCATAATGAAAAGTTCAAAAGCCCTGAAGCTAAAAGCAGAATGATTTTCTCAACAAGACCATGTGTAAGAAGTACATATTCATTTACTTAGTATTACTAAAATGAAACTAATATATTATAATATTTAATGACAGCATGTGCTAGATCAAAATCATCTCACCGCTCCACAAACAAGGAACAAAAGGTTTGCGGCAGAAATTGGCAAGGAATTTCCCTGTGCAGATGGAAATAAGTTGAGGTCAACAGACCTATTCATATTCCCAGATGAATACAATGGGTGCTACTATATGATGTGCTTTGACTTGAAGAGCATGAAGTTCTACATCATTGATAGTAGCGACGGAGATATAGCTCCTGCAGTCAAGTACTTGTTTCAAATGTCATACCTGGTAAACGTTTTATATATTTCTTTTTTATTTTATCACATATGGATAAATAATGTGATGATTTAGTATATGAGTAATGTGCACTTGATAATTGAGCAACTACATAGACAATATGTGCATGAACATAAGAATATGTATAATTCTGTTTTTGAAATTTTTAACTACAGAGAAGTGGATTTGTGAAATTTCTTCGAGATCAAAAACACCCAAAGGCAGATAAGGTTGTGAAGCTGAAGGAAGAAGTGGTTAAAATGCATTGGAGAAACAAGAAAAACAAAACCAATGAGGGAGTTTATTTGATGAGGCACATGGAGACATTTTATGGTGACACAGCATGGGAGTGTGGATTAGATAAACAAAGTGTAAGTCCAAAATTGTTTAATATAGTTTTCAAACACAATAATTATGTGAAAACTTGAATATCTAAATTATAATGTTTGTACAGGAAAAACCAATTGAGATGCTGCGGATTAAGTACTTGCATGCAATAGTAACATCTGATAAGAATGAGATCAAGAAGAACATCATGGAACAAGTGAAGAAACACAATGTGTATATCTAGAAGATTTGTAATGCTATTGATGATTGTGGGCGTTGATGAACATATTGTTGTTTTTTAATTCATGCTAAACAATATTAGTATTTGGGACATATGATATTACTATTAAGCTTGGATGACAGTAGTCATGTTAGTAATATTAAATAAGGACATATGCTTATGGGAAGTTCATATTATTGATCATTATTAGTAAGTTCTATGCTCATTTCCTTGCTTACTTATACACATTTTAAGGTATTAATGATAATTACTAGTAAGTACTATTCTCAATTCATTTATTACTTATACAAAATTTTAAGGAGTGAGCTTTTAAATTTAAATTCTTTGAGTGTGAAAGTAAGACAATGTATTAATTCATTAAATAAACAGTGCGGGGTGTTTTTTCCAATTATTCGTAATGTATTTATAATGGTATGAGTCTTCACTACGAAATGAAATAGATAATTTAAAGTTTTTTTGGGAAAAATATGTATATATTTGTGTTCATTGCGAAATAGTAATTATACACATTCATGATGATTGTAATATTGATTGCTGACATCTGTATTTATGAAGTTTATATTAATACTCATTATTAGTAGCGTAAATGCTCATTTAATTAATTAGTATACACAATTTGAAGACTAATCAATTGAATTTTAGAACATTAAGTATGAAATTACGTTATACAAATTTTCTTATAAAAATTATATTTAATTTGAAATAGTAAACACATAATTTAGTGAGTCTTGCATTCAAAATGCATTAACTAAAAAATTATATTTACTTCTATACTCATTTTGTTAACACGTGGTACTCATTATAGCACAAACAATTACTCAAAAGAAGATTAGATCAGAGGAATGTATGATTACAAAAAAGTAAAAACTACAACAAAAACATAGAGGAACAAAATGTAAAGTCTAAAAGTGAAAACAACTGAAACTAAAATGATGATAAAAGATAAAAGATGTTATTTTTTGAATAATATAATAAGTATGTAAATAAAAAACAAAGCTTTTAAGAATGTTTACACATTTCAAGGTTCAATATTCGAAGTACTAGCTGCTGTTGACTTGTTCCTTCCTTGGAAGTTAAGGTTCATATTTCAGAGAACATTTATAATATTCCAAAGCGTAATTTTAAATGATTAACATACAGCTACGGTCTGAGCATCAACACAAAAATGTTGAGTAATAAAAAAACCTGACACCAGTCATTAATAAACTAGTGAATATAACAGTATTACTACATAGCTATTGGAAAAATCAAACTACAAATTTGCTTGATCAGTTTCAGATGTACTAGCTTGGCGTGACTTCTTCTTTGCTCTAGCTTGATTTGTTTTGATTTCAATAAGACTCTTGCGACGAACATTTCTTTCACCCTTCTTCCTTGAAGACTTTGGATTAGATATTGCTGAACCCAAACCAACTGTAGAAGATTCACTATCAGAAAAGTAAATACTTCCAACTTGCTCTTCAACATCCACTTTCAACTTTGTAAAAGATTCTTCACAAAAATGCCTTGCTGCAGAATTAGAATCACTAGAGCACAAAAGCTTGTGAAATTTCTTTTGCATTTGCATTCTCCAAACAGAAGGTAAAACATTAGAAGTCCCAGATGAGGCATATATTTGTTCAGTTGGAACACACTTTGCACTACGCGTCCAACGTTTCAGAACATAACAATCCGGTATAACTTCTACACAGTGAATATGATATATACGAAGAATATGACAACACAAAATACCAACTTCTGAGAATTTCTCACATGAACATTTAACAAAATGTGTTGTCATATCAAAAGAAACCCAATGTGAAAATATATCTATTTGAGGCATCCATACCAAATATGACATCAAAGAACCTTGTTGATGTCTAAGTTCATATTTCAGGGACATACCTCGTAGAAATTCTTTCTCAAACAGTTTATACGCATCAATCGTGTAGACCTTGGAGGCTTTATGTAACAAACCAACAA